GCTTGCAAATTCCCCCCCCCCCCCCAACCCTCATGTTTCAAGATCAAGACCCGGTTAATTCCGGTAGAGAGATTAGATTTCAATCAAGGACCCAAATCGAGATATTGATTTCACTAAATAAAAATAAAAAGGAGTAGCCAGCCAACAAAAAACCAATCTGTGTCTCGTCGAGGTGGTTGGTCAAAATTCGTGGTCACGCCGAGTTGGCTCGTTAAATTCGTTTACAAACGAGTATTCAGAATATCGACTCAAATCGTCAAGAAAATGAATCAGTAATAGCCCGAAACAATTTTATTTTTATAGATTTAATCAAATATCCAAATCAAAATTGATCTTATTAGATTACATTATAGTAAAAAACATGAAAGCAACCAAAATAAAATATGCGTAGTGGACAAACTATAACGTACAGATATCACGAGGGGAAATCTTTGGGGTTGTACTTTTGTTTGCAACGGAGATTCGGCGAACAAACACATCAATCAAACTACTGATGATGGACCACGAAATGGGGGGTTCAAAAGTATAAATAACTGAAAATAAAGGGGTCGTTTTGTTAATTCCTAAATCAGAATTCTCACGTAATAGCAGGCTGCCTTGATTTTGACATTGTTTTATAACAAATTCTCACTTTGTTTCGCCCTTTCATATATTGTGTTATTTTTGGGTCACATTTTTTTACATAAATGTATGTCTATATTATAATTATACATATCAAAAATAAAAATGAAAATGAAAGTGAAAAGAAATAAGGCCATGCATTGTGCGGATGATGGATGACCTTGATCTTTTTGTCTCCTTTTATTAGTTCCCATGCACATTGGATCCCAAACGGAGGAATATGTCACAATCTTATTGTAGGGTTTTTTGAAAATAATGTTTTTGATTTAATTGTGTTGCAATCATTCTCTATATTAAATTTTTAATCAAATAAATAACTTTATATAGATATCGATAGAAATTGATCGTTGAGCGTATATTTGTCCCACCGAGTTGATTAGATTTATAACTAAATTTGGAATTATGGGAATGACTGGTAATAATCCAACCGGGAATATATATATATATATAT